TAAAGGCGCTATATAAAATAAAGTTTATTATTATTATTAATTATTTTTTTCACTTATGTTAATGAAATCAGATCTTAAGTGTTGTTTATAAAATAAAACTTATTAAAAAATGCTTTTGTTATTATTTATCTTGTATCACAGAAGAGAAAAATCTTTGCTCAAGCCCACAAAGTGTTTTAATGCAATACATGAACTCAGGAAGATTGTTATGGGAATGCCAGTATTGGTTTCCTCATAAAAATGTATTCCTTTCATTTCATTTTATTTTTTTAAAGAAACTTTCATTACTATGATAGTTCCATTGAACCTGAAAAAAAATCTTGCGCTGCTGAATGCAAATCTGTAACATTAAAATTGAAATAAAAACATGCCCTCAAAGTACGACATTACCAACAATTACCACAAGGTGGAGATATTGTCCTCCCCATGTTAAGAATGGCAAAGCTTTGTTAATTTGCCTTTCATTTGGTTGTGCATCTGTGTTGGGCTTCCAGTTCTCAAGCTCTTCGGATGCTGTTGGTGTATTTGCAGTCCAGCTCATCTTTTGAAAATAGCGGGTCACCTGGCCTTCTGTTTGTAACCGTATAGCGTAATGGTCTGGAATGAAAACCAGAACAGAAACCCTCAGAATTAATTCCAAATTTGTTTCTCTGTGAAAATAATAGTTTTGTAAACATATCAATAATGTTCTGCAGTCTCATCTTCCTCAGCTCTGATCTCCACCTGTTGTAACAGTGACGATCATGACTTTCAGTCAGTCTCAGGCGCTCTTTCTTTCTGGGAAGCTGCCCGTCTAACGACACTGGAAACTCCCATGTCAGCTCCTGGAAGGCTGTGGCATCATCCATCTTCGGATTTCCAGATCCTGCAGCTGCCACAGCGGATGTTGGTGTTGATCTGATGTAAAAGCGAATATTAGTATATTATTATTATATTAGTATAGTATTATATTAATATTAGTATCAAATATTAATCTCTGTAACACGTTGGCTAAAAAGAACTGAAACTGGTGTTTTCTCTTCCAGTTACACAGCATGTGTGCATAATGCAGCACTGAGTGGCGATTGCTCTCTTGATATTTCAAAAGCATGAAGTAATTGTTGTTTTTGACACATTCATATTTTGTCATATATTCAGAACATGGTGACACTTACTGAGCTCCCTCCTCTGCAATACCTTCAATGACTTCAGTGGCTGAGCAGATGTTGTCATGTGTCAGTATCCTCTAGTATTTCTCTGCAATACCATCTGAGTGGGCCAGATAATTCACCACGATGCTCTCCTGTGCATCTGTGAGCCTCTTTGTGGCCGTCTCAAATTCCCTCCTGGCAGCCTGGCTGGTGATAAATGGGAGGTGGTATCTACAAAATAAACACGTACACAAAGTGTATGATTGTTTCCAAGCCACAGACAGTTTGATTCATACATTAAAACAACTTTGTGATTTGGTTTACTTCTCATGCAGTCTCCGCAGGTCGTTGGAAGGACTATAAATTGGCTCCCCCACAGACGAAATGAAAAAAAATTCAGTCTCTGTTCCACAGATGCTCTTTGTGGCAGTACAGCATAGTTTAGTGAAGTAAAGGTGAAATATCTGAAAAAACAGACAAAATGCAGTTAATGTACTTTTCAACTATTGTTGAATAAAGAAGACAGATGTTGACAATGAACTGAAAGGAGAATATCAACGTAACTTTGACTTACATGTTCCTCTTCTTCATTCAGGGCAAAGCATGCCAGCTGCTGTGAGGAGGTTGTGTGCTTTGTCACTGCTATTATCGCCAGTTTTTGGCCTCTTTGTGACACAAAAGTCTTTCGCTACATCCATTCCTGGACTTGATATCACAAGCAATTCAATAAATAATATCTCATTCAAAACTGCCAATGATCATTTTACAGTAGCAACAGCAGCACCCAGTAATGAAGTGCATGTACAGTGTTGAGTGTTTCAATCAGTCAGTCTGACCCACTTGGCTGGGTGCTAAGCTTCTGTAGGATGAGGCAGCTGGGATCCCAATGAGGACTCACAAGTAGGGGATGGTGTGGAAGAGAGGTGCAAAAGATGAATGTGAAGGAGAGAAGGGGCTTATTTATTACATGAGGAGGTGTCATCAAGAATGATTACGATTTAGTGCTGCTGAGGCTGTTTGAACTTGATGTTTGCCATTCACTAACTCTTGTTCCATATGGAGTTACTGAAGAGAAGTTGGGGTGGAGATCAAATTCCACTCTCACACTTCCACTCTCCAGTGTGTTAAATCTGCTTGACTGAACACAGAGCTGAGAGCATCTTCTCCCTCTCCCCTCCCTCCAGTCCAGTCTCACTGTAAAGGCCCTACAGTAAGTAACAGGAGCGCCACCTAAATGACAGTGATGAGCCCTGACCAGCACTGTTATTCTGTCTCTTTATAAATGTCAGATAATTGTGTCATTGTTAGAATTTGACCAAACAACTGAAATATGCACGACTGTCATTCTTACTATCATATTCTTTATCACCCCTTGGTGCTGTAGGTGCTTCAGCTGGAGAATAGCTCGTAGGTAATACAGCACAAGAAGCTGCTCAGGCATGATGATGTCTTCAGAAGTGTGCATCTTCTCTAGTTCCACTCCACGTCTCTCTTTGCAGCCCTCAGCACCTTCCAGCAGTCACTAGGGCTTGACCCAGGACTCTGCAGCTGTCTGTATCTGTGGCAAAAAGAGTAGTACCATCAATGTCAATTCCCTTAATGTACTGGAACCGGAAACCAACTGGATTCAGAGTTCCAAATGGAAAATACCTTTTTCTGATGACATCCTGTGAGACATCTTGCTGTTTTTTTGCTGACTGTCCTTTAGGACGCTCTGGAAGATGATGATGACGTTAGCCAGCCTCCTGTCTTAGGTTGGTGGCATTCAGGATGTAGCACAGGAATCGGTTGATATTTTTGATGTAATTAGCAATGGTTTGGCGAGACAGTCCAGTCATCCTCAGTTGGTAAAAAAAATTGCGCGTTTTGGAAATGTCCTTCATTAACTTCAAGGATGCTTCAGACAGATCCATAAAAAACAGGAATCTGGAAACGTTGTCTATCTAAAAAAAAATGTTTTTAGGGTTTATTTTTAGGGCTGGCACAATCTCAGATAGGTGAATTCTGTGCTAAAAGTAGTTCAAATTAAAATATGAGTTAAAAAATTTACTATGTGAGTCTCTGCCCAGTTTTAAATACCTACCTCCTGAGAGCAGTTAACCACACCCAGGTCCTGGATAAGGTACTGTTTAAACCCAGCCAGGAGAGGAGCATCCAGAGCATGTTTTCTGTATAGTCCAGCCTGGGCCACTCTCTTCCGGAGAGCCTGCTGATAACTCTTAACTACTGGGGTCCTGTAGGGATTTACTGGAACAGGACCCAACCCCAAGTCCATCCAGGGCATCTTATTTGCCTGGGCGACATGCCATCCGGTATGGTTCATCATTAACATTATTCTCCATTTTGAGGTTTTGCCATGTGTACTACCCAGTGGGTTGGCAGGCCCACAGGAGGGGTGAGATAATTAAGACCTCATTTGGCCTCTACATCCTCAAGCAGAGCAGTGGAGTTACCAGCAGGACCACGTGGAGGTAGAGGTCACTAAGTCTCCACTCCTTACCCAAGGGAGTTAAGAGAGTCAAATTTACTCCTGCCGTTTAGCCACGCTTCATTGAATTTCTTCACTTTAACATTCTGTGCACTGGGCAGAAATCGCATCGTGTTGACACCCGCCGCGGGCCTTCATGATGCTTTGTTTTAATTAAACAGTCGAATACCTGTGGTCCGCACTAGTTCTAAGCCAACTGCTAGACACTGGCCGAGGCCGCCCGCCGCCCGCCGGCCTTCCCCGGGCAGGAAGAGGTTGACCGACGCACGCCTCAAATGTGGAGATCCACGGGAAGGGTCCGACGCATGTCTAGATTCACCGCCGTGGACGATGGCTTGCCCCCCGGCACCCTGGCCTTCCTGCGAGAAGGGGATGGTGGGCTCCGACCGGGGCACGTGAGAGGGGGCACGGCACACGGCGCCTCGTCCAGCCGAGACTCGCGCCCAGCCCCACTTCCCATCCCAGCCCGACCGATCTAGCCCTTAGAGCCAATCCTTATCCCAAAGTTATGGGATAACTTGGAGACCTGCTGCATACTACAATCTTAAATCTAATTCATGTGAAAGCAGAGAATCAGAGCTTTCAATTAATGTCTATTATCCCCAGTTTTAAACTCAGCATCATGTCTGCATCCATAAAAATGCGTGGCCAATGTTTTTGAATATTGAAAAATGGATGGCATATTTCATTAATATCTCAGAAATGGCGCATATTAGAAGGTTTAAACCAAGAGCTTCGAAAGCAGGGATTCAGAGCCTTCATGTAATGCCCAATTACTGCACTGTTCAGCACAGCATCAGCCCTGCACTTCCTAAAATAACTGTCCCCTATTTTTTAATATTGACAAAATGGATGGCCTTGTTTCATTATTATCTCTGAAACGGTGCATACTACAAGCTTAAAAAAATGCTTGTACAGTATCTGGTAGCAGAGAATCAAAGCTTTCATTTAATGTCTATTATCCCCAGTTTTAAACTCAGCATCATGTCTGCCTCCATAAAAATGTGTGTCCAATATTTTTCAATATTGACAAAATGGTTGGCATATTTTCATTCATATCTCCGAAACGGTGCATATTACAAGGTTTAAACCAAATGCACTTGAAAGAAGAGACTCAGATGTTTCATTTAATGTCTATTATCCCCAGTTTAAAAACATAGCATCGTGTTTGCCTCCATAAAAATGTGTTTCCAATATTTCTGAATATTTACCAAATGGATATGTTACATCCCAATGTGTAGTCCATGTGTGTTTTGTTGCTATGTTCCCCACATCCTGACCTTGATTGTTCTTCCTCCCTCATTGGCCCATCATTACACCATTGTTTCCGTATTACATCATCATCGTTTAGCATCTCGGCCAATCAGAGTGCAGTTTAATCAGTACATAACTTGGAGGTTTTCAGAAGGAAGGGCCCTTTCGTTTGACTTTGGTCCCGCTCGGCTTAGCTTCAGTTTTGTTTCACTTTTGGTTTTGCTTTGGCTTCTTATTGCTTCGTGTGTGTGTGTAGCTTCGTCTTTGTTGGTTTGTATTTGTCTCCTTGTACTTTCGTTTGTTTGTGTTATCCATTATTTAGCCATTACCTTGCCCAGATGTATTGTATCTGATGAATTCTTTGAGAAAATCTGACCCTTAACCCTAACCTGTGAAAGTCCCTTAGCTAGGGTTAGGGTTAGAATTTTAGAAAACACAGAGGATATTTGATGGCATGACAGTGTTTTAGGACAGAAAGGAAATTTAGGAAAAGTGATATTTCAATGTTAACTTCACTTTTTTTTCTTGAAAAAAGGTTTCTTAACTGTAACCTGTGAAAGTCCCTTAGTTAGGATTAGGGTTAGAATTTTAGAAAACACAGAGGATATTTGATGGCATGGCTGTATTTTAGGACAGAAAGGAAATTAAGGAAAAGTGATATTTCAATGTTAGCTTAACTTTTTTTCTTGCATATATGACACTATACACTGCATTGCACTCAAAAGGAACATTGTTAAATTTGCCCTAACAGCAAAAGTTTGAAAGAAAGTGGTTAAACCTTTCAAACGTTTGCATTTGTCTTTGGGTACACTAGAATTTTAACAGATACACCTAATATTTATTTGGTATTCCTGAATGTTAACCTATTTAACCCTGAATCCATGCTCATTGAGAACTACATTCAACACTAAATTTTCAATAACAGAATCCTTGTCAGAAAATACAATTCTACCATGGTTGATATATTTTCTTTGGTTTGGCAAGGTTGCGCATTCTATTCAAGCTAAAGTTTTTATGACCTGAGCTCTATTTTCCACTCAAAGGAGTGGTAGGTTGTATGAATTCTTTGAGAAAATCTGACCCTTAACCCTAACCTGTGAAAAACCCTTAGCTAGGGTTAGGGTTAGAATTTCAGAAAACATAGAGGATATTTGATGGCATGGCTATGTTTTAGGACAGAAAGGAAATTTAGGAAAAGTGATATTTCAATGTTACCTTCACTTTTTTTATTGCATATACAGATGCAGCCATTCAAAATGTGTGGGGTACTTCCAGGTACTACGCGGTGGGCATGTCGCATCGAAACGCATTATCATGCAATAGCACTAGGTGTAAGGCGTCATTTCACGTCATACCAGAAAGTATCCGGAATCACCTTGTAAAACCGCCAGGAGGAGCCAATAAAGCTTAACCTCTGATGTTCAGCATTTAAATTTAAGACTGTGTATTATTGCATGTTAATCACCAGTCATTAAAAAGCTGGTATATTTTATGAAAGGAAGATTGCTCAGTTGGGCAAAAGTACACAACCTACCTTTATCATAAATATTTTAATTATACAGAAATGTTTTTTGCATCAAAGCCTTTATCGAAGATATTACTAATAGTATTAATAATGAATGACTTTGGACAAGCTGTAAACTTAAAGTATTACGTTGGTCCACATTCTTTCTAACCGTCATTTTAAACGAAA